GGGGGAAGCCAGAGTCCTGCATGCGGGCGGGTACATGCAAGTGAATCGCTAATATTTGATGTAATGGGTGGAAAAATAATTATGTGTAGGGTGTGATGCGGGTGCGGGCCAGACGGTGACAAGCACGGGCGGGTTGCGGGTCCAATAACCAAGACTATTTCAACTCGGTCCAGTACACGCTGAGCAATGTAGCCAATCTGTATTTAATCTATTCACAATTTGAATAAAAGTTTTAATAAATGAGTTTTGTCTACCTCATGTAGGAGATTCAATGCAGTTGTGGTTTGGGTCCCAGTTTTATGTCAAATGGGTCGGGTATGGGATTAAAATAGTGTTGCTGTCAGATAACGTGCCGGTTGTTCTGTTAATTACGGCGATTGTGGGAAGATCATTTCACCAGCCAGGAAAGGTGAATGAAAATGCCTCTCTGTGATGTTACCACGAGGCATTGCTTACTTACAGATCTCAGGCTTCTGGAGGAGATGTAGATTCGTAAGAGTGAGGAGGAAGTAGGAGGGTGCTGAGCTTGTGGCTGTTCTATACGCAAACCTCAATGCCTTGAACTTGATGCGAGCTGCAACCGGTAGCCAGTGCAGGGAGATAAAGAGAGGTGTGACATGGGCTCTTTTGGGCTCATGGAAGAGTAGTCGTGCCGCTGCATTCTGAAACATTTGTCAAGGTTTGATTGCGCATGATGGAAGTCCAGCTAGAAGAGCACTGCAATAGTCCAGCCTAGAAATGACAGGGGCCTGGGCAAGAATTTGTGCAGCATGCTCTGTTTGGAAGGGCCTGATCCTCCTGGTGTTGTGCAATGCAAACCTGCATGATTGAGCTGTCTTTAAAATATGGTCCTTGAAGGACAGCTGGTCACCAAAGAATACTTTTGAACCTAGCAGGATGATGAAATCATGCTGTAGAGTCGAAGTGGCAGCGAAAACAAGAAGCCCAGTCTTTGCCAGGTTGAGTTGCAAGTGTTCCTTCATCCATGCCGAGATGTTTGCCAGGCAGCCTGAGATCCATGCAGCTACTATTGGATTGTCTGGTTGAAATGAATGATAGAGCTGTGTGTCATCAGCATAGCAATGGTAGGAGAAACCATTTGCTTGGATAATGGGTCCCAGTGATGTAGTGTATATGGAGAAGAGGAGGGGTCCAAGAACTGATTCCAGAGGAAACTCTGTGGCCAGTTGATGTTCTTTGGATACCTCTCCTCCCCAGGAAATCCTGAAAGACCTACCTGTGAGATAAGATTCAAACCAGTGGAGTGCAGATCCGGTGATGGCAGACAGGATAATCTGATGATTCACAGTGTCAAACGTGGCAGATAGATCCAGCAGAATACAAACTGATGATTTGGAATCAGCTTTCGCTATCTGCAGGGCTACAGTGACCGACAGCAAAGTTGAATGGCCGCTGCTGAAACCTGATTGGTTAAGTACAGTTGGTCATTCTGTGAAAGAAATAATGTAACTGTGTCTATAAAGGTTTGAACCAAATGGTCCATTCCATTAGAATAACAAAGGAACAGCATTCCTCAGGAATGTCTTGTAGATTGCAGGATCTCCAGCGGGAAGGTCCTAACAGTATTGTTCTAGCCCTTTTGTCTTCAGGTATAAAATTCTATCCCACAGACAGAACTTTGGGAGAAGCTAGGATTCATACAAGGGTAAGATTGCTTGAAGGAAGACATGCTAACATCGCTATTGAAGAACTGCTACACTACCATCTTCAATAAATTCTTAAAGATGATGATGCATGGGGCAACTTTTTAGGTTAGAAGGGGTAT